TACACTTTTTTATCAAAGTTACACTTCTTTATCAAAGTTACACTTCTTTATCAAAGTTACTCTCTTTATCAAAGTTACACTTCTTTATCAAAGTTACTCTCTTTATCAAAGTTACTCTCTTTATCAAAGTTACACTTCTTTATCAAAGTTACACTCTTTATCAAAGTTACTCTCTTTATCAAAGTTACACTCTTTATCAAAGTTACACTTCTTTATCAAAGTTACACTTTATCAAAGTTACACTTCTTTATCAAAGTTACTCTCTTTATCAAAGTTACTCTCTTTATCAAAGTTACTCTCTTTATCAAAGTTACACTTCTTTATCAAAGTTACACTTCTTTATCAAAGTTACACTTCTTTATCAAAGTTACACTTCTTTATCAAAGTTACACTTCTTTATCAAAGTTACACTTCTTTATCAAAGTTACACTCTTTATCAAAGTTACACTTCTTTATCAAAGTTACACTTCTTTATCAAAGTTACACTTCTTTATCAAAGTTACACTTCTTTATCAAACTTACACTCTTTATCAAAGTTACACTTCTTTATCAAAGTTACACTTCTTTATCAAAGTTACACTTCTTTATCAAAGTTACACTTCTTTATCAAAGTTACACTCTTTATCAAAGTTACACTCTTTATCAAAGTTACACTTCTTTATCAAAGTTACACTTCTTTATCAAAGTTACACTCTTTATCAAAGTTACACTCTTTATCAAAGTTACACTCTTTATCAAAGTTACACTTCTTTATCAAAGTTACACTTCTTTATCAAAGTTACACTCTTTATCAAAGTTACACTACTTTATCAAAGTTACACTTCTTTATCAAAGTTACTCTCTTTATCAAAGTTACACTTCTTTATCAAAGTTACACTCTTTATCAAAGTTACACTTCTTTATCAAAGTTACACTTCTTTATCAAAGTTACACTTCTTTATCAAAGTTACACTTCTTTATCAAAGTTACACTTCTTTATCAAAGTTACACTCTTTATCAAAGTTACACTTCTTTATCAAAGTTACACTTCTTTATCAAAGTTACACTCTTTATCAAAGTTACACTTCTTTATCAAAGTTACTCTCTTTATCAAAGTTACACTCTTTATCAAAGTTACACAGATGTTTTGCTCGCTCTCCTCTCCACAGACAGGACCTGTAAATGTTTCAGAAGTAGTTTCTGATGTGAGCAGAAAACACAACAAAAAGAGGATCCTCCTTCAGAAAACTGACGACACGTGTGTTTTTAAACTTTATGACTCAACAGTTCAGTCTCAAACAGGAACTATGTGTTTCATGAACTAAGGAATAAAAGTTACACTTCTTTATCAAAGTTACACTTCTTTATCAAAGTTACACTTCTTTATCAAAGTTACACTTCTTTATCAAAGTTACACTTCTTTATCAAAGTTACTCTCTTTATCAAAGTTACACTTCTTTATCAAAGTTACACTCTTTATCAAAGTTACACTTCTTTATCAAAGTTACACTTCTTTATCAAAGTTACACTCTTTATCAAAGTTACACTTCTCTATCAAAGTTACTCTCTTTATCAAAGTTACACTTCTTTATCAAAGTTACTCTCTTTATCAAAGTTACACTTCTTTATCAAAGTTACACTTCTTTATCAAAGTTACACTTCTTTATCAAAGTTACACTTCTTTATCAAAGTTACTCTCTTTATCAAAGTTACACTTCTTTATCAAAGTTACACTCTTTATCAAAGTTACACTTCTTTATCAAAGTTACTCTCTTTATCAAAGTTACTCTCTTTATCAAAGTTACACTTCTTTATCAAAGTTACACTTCTTTATCAAAGTTACACTTCTTTATCAAAGTTACACTTCTTTATCCAAGTTACACTTCTTTATCAAAGTTACACTCTTTATCAAAGTTACACTCTTTATCAAAGTTACACTCTTTATCAAAGTGACACTTCTTTATCAAAGTTACACTTCTTTATCAAAGTTACTCTCTTTATCAAAGTTACTCTCTTTATCAAAGTTACACTTCTTTATCAAAGTTACACTTCTTTATCAAAGTTACACTTCTTTATCAAAGTTACACTTCTTTATCCAAGTTACACTTCTTTATCAAAGTTACTCTCTTTATCAAAGTTACACTTCTTTATCAAAGTTACACTTCTTTATCAAAGTTACACTTCTTTATCCAAGTTACACTTCTTTATCAAAGTTACTCTCTTTATCAAAGTTACACTCTTTATCAAAGTTACACTCTTTATCAAAGTGACACTTCTTTATCAAAGTGACACTTCTTTATCAAAGTTACTCTCTTTATCAAAGTTACACTCTTTATCAAAGTGACACTTCTTTATCAAAGTTACACTTCTTTATCAAAGTTACTCTCTTTATCAAAGTTACACTTCTTTATCAAAGTTACTCTCTTTATCAAAGTTACACTCTTTATCAAAGTTACACTTCTTTATCAAAGTTACACTCTTTATCAAAGTTACTCTCTTTATCAAAGTGACACTTCTTTATCAAAGTGACACTTCTTTATCAAAGTTACACTTCTTTATCCAAGTTACACTTCTTTATCAAAGTTACACTTTTTTATCAAAGTTACACTTCTTTATCAAAGTTACTCTCTTTATCAAAGTTACACTTCTTTATCAAAGTTACTCTCTTTATCAAAGTTACACTCTTTATCAAAGTTACACTTCTTTATCAAAGTTACACTCTTTATCAAAGTTACACTCTTTATCAAAGTTACACTTCTTTATCAAAGTTACACTCTTTATCAAAGTTACACTCTTTATCAAAGTGACACTTCTTTATCAAAGTGACACTTCTTTATCAAAGTTACACTTCTTTATCAAAGTTACACTTCTTTATCAAAGTTATATCACATTTCTTTATCAAAGTTACACTCTCTTTATCAAAGTTACACTCTTTATCAAAGTTACACTTCTTTATCAAAGTTACACTACACTCTTTATCAAAGTTACACTTCTTTATCAAAGTTACACTTCTTTATCAAAGTTACACTATCAAAGTTACACTTCTTTATCAAAGTTACACTTCTTTATCAAAGTTACTCTCTTTATCAAAGTTACACTCTTTATCAAAGTTACACTTCTTTATCAAAGTTACACTTCTTTATCAAAGTTACACTTCTTTATCAAAGTTACACTTCTTTATCAAAGTTACTCTCTTTATCAAAGTTACACTTCTTTATCAAAGTTACACTCTTTATCAAAGTTACTCTCTTTATCAAAGTTACACTTCTTTATCAAAGTTACACTTCTTTATCAAAGTTACACTTCTTTATCAAAGTTACACTCTTTATCAAAGTTACACTCTTTATCAAAGTTACACTCTTTATCAAAGTTACACTTCTTTATCAAAGTTACACTTCTTTATCAAAGTTACACTTCTTTATCAAAGTTACACTTCTTTATCAAAGTTACACTTCTTTATCAAAGTTACACTCTTTATCAAAGTTACACTCTTTATCAAAGTTACACTTCTTTATCAAAGTTACACTTCTTTATCAAAGTTACTCTCTTAATCAAAGTTAACTTTTAGTTTAGTAGTTTTAGTCAAAGTTTTACTTTAGTCCAACTGACACACACACAGAGACAGATCATAGACTGTAAATATTAACAGACAGAGTCAGGCCTATCTCCGCCGTTCAAACTAATGGGCCAAAAAATGTGCTCTACTGGAGCGATCCAAAATGGCCGCGAGTGGTCCCGCCCACAAGAAAATTGTTCTTCAAAACTTGAAGAATTAAGTTAATGCCTTCAACTCAAAAATCCTTCGCAGCTGGTTGCTTTGAAATTTTGAGTTGAACTAAACTTTATCTTTTTTACAGTGTGCATGGACCAGAAGTCCAATTAAAATAATGGACAATTGCTCCTGCAGCCCTGAACAGGACATGCGAGGTGCGCGGGTCGGCCCAAAACCCGCAGTCAACCCGCGGGTCCCGCGGTTTCGGGCGGGTTGGATGCCTCAAAAATATGAGTCATGTCAGGTGCGGGTGGGTCGGGTCAGAAAGCTCCTGATCCCTATATAATATTATATATGTGAGCCACGGTATGGGAGTCCCTTGAGTACATTTGCAATCGCGCAGGGAGGCTGTTAAACACAAAAATCATGCTGACAAACAGGATCGCTCCTTCCTGACTCCCCGCTTAAAGCCTCAGAACACTCCAGCCCGAGGACAGACGTGTGATCTACACAGAGGCACCAAGACTGATGACTGTGGGCCTCACAGCAGAGGCCTAAAGCAGGGGCCTCATTACTTTAATACTTACAGTCTGTGGTAAATACACGGGCTACATGTGGTACACGTGCTTAGACTATATTAATATTGTATGTGTAACATTCAAAATAGATTGAGTGAATATTCCCTTTTCCTCATTTAGTGATTTGCGGAGGAGAGGAGAGGAGCAGCGAGAGAAGTTTGGCAGTTGAAATAAATGAATTACAGCTTGCTAAATTATTTGAAAGCATCTTCATTATGATTGTTATATTTATGTATTTATTATAAATGTTAGAGATGCCAGAGAAAAGGCGTCTGCTTTTTTTCTGAGTGGGAGGAGACACCAGCGGAGCCAATAGTTTCTCTTTCCATAACGATATTCTCTCTTTTTGGAAAGATCACCAACGTGATGCAAAAGTTTACGTTATATGCAGTAGTTTTAATGTCTGCGGGTTTTCCAGAGACTGGCCTGCTACAAGGAGTTGCCCGTTTAAACCAGATTGTCGATGTGCGGGGCAGAAACTCGCCAATGTAACCCTGCTCACAAGTGCCACCTGGTGGTTGTTTTGGTCATTGCAACGTCACTGGGAGGGGGGAAAATAAAAGACGCGTGAATCACACGTGATTCTCGTGTGATTCACGCGTGAAAGGCGACAAAACGGAATGGGACCTACTGTACGTGGCAATAAAAATGATTCTGATTCTGATACGGTTTCAAACTGCAAAAATATTCAAAATTCCTGTGACCTAAAAATAATGTTCTTTGCAACTCACGAGTGTCGCACTTTTCACCACTCCAGCCGGACGCGCAGGAGCAGAGGTTGGGTCCCACACACTTGGCTCGGTTCATGCAGGCAGGCTCACACACACCTGCGCACACACACACACACACACACACACACACACACACACACAGGTTGATGACAGGTGTCCCGATTGCTGCCTGAAGGACTTCTGCTCACGCACTCTGCTGGCACCTCCTCCCCGTGTAGCCCCCCGGACACCAGCACACATTGTTCCTTATGCACTGGCCTCCATTTTTACAAGGCGGGTTACAGACAGCTGAAACACACACCAAAAAGCTCTAAGTCAGTCAAATACACAGACAAAAACACAGTATCCACAGTACACTCAGTGCTGAATATGTAGTGTCCCTAACTGACCCAGGGCTTTTGGCTCAGAAGTGAGAGTGTAAGCTGGACTTAGCCAGGAAGTACATTTCGATTGTTTACTCCCATATCCATAAAATAGCCACTAATGTTAAAAAAGTTGAAGTGCTTTGATGTGGCGATGTTGTCCAGCTTGACGTCTTGTGTAGGAGTTCCAGTTGTGGGTATTGGTCTGTAAACCACCACCCCTCAAAGGTGCATGCTCAGCACCCACCGCTGTTTCTCCTGCTCCTCCTGATTCGTGACTAAATGAGAAATGTGTAATTGTAAAACCAATTTTAAAACATAAAACCTAAACTAAAATATACAACCTAATATAATAAATTATATTATTTCAGACACCCTTGACCTGGCATTGATTGTCTTTTGAATGAGATTATGAGAGTTATGCAAGGTCAAATGGATATGTTTTTCAGATTTGTGTGGAGGGCAGTTACTCAGCTATTTTGTCTGTATGTGATACGGTTGTGTGTTTTGTGTATGTTTAATCAACAACTGACCGATCTGGCAGCGCGCGCCGTAGAATCCAGCGAAGCACACACAGTAGTCGGGTCTGATGCAGGTCCCTCCATTAGAGCAGGGTGGGTCACACACAGCTGAACACACACACACACACACACACACACACACACACACACACACACACACACACTGGTGACATACAGGGACCACAGTGTGGGATGTGATCACCAGCCTCAGTACCTGTCGCACACGTGGGACCAGACCAGCCAGGTTTACAGCTGCACACGTCGGCAGACACACACTCACCTCCGTGTTCACAGGGTCGGACACACACCACTGAGGACAGGTACACAACACAATGCAACAGTAAACAAATACAATCTGATCTGTAGGGTGTGTTTTTGGACTCACTGATGTCACATGTAGGACCCATGTATCCGTAAGGGCAGGTGCAGTGGTTCCTGGAGGCGCAGGTCCCTCCGTGCTGACAGGGCGGCTCACAGTGTGCTTCAAGACAAAGAAATTATCAGCACACACATTGTACCTGCATTTTACACACACACACACACATACCTTGTTCACATGTGGCTCCTGTGTATCCTGCAGGACACTGACACACACTGGGCCTCACACAACGGCCCTGGTTCTTGCAGTCTGGACGACATACCGCTGCACAAACACACACACACACACAAACACACACAATAATAATAATAATAATAACAGTATCAGGTTATATTAATTGTATTGAGGTGACTTGTGTCTTGTGTTCCCTGTCCTCACCAATATGGCAGCCGTATCCGGTGAAGCCTTTCTTACATGTGCAGGTGTTTGGTAAAGAGCACTTCTGATTTTTCCCACACGGATACTTGCAGACGGCTGAAACACAAGACTTCAGATTGTATCTTTGTATCTGATCTGTAAGCCCACAGTCCCACTCACAAACATACACTCATTCCACCCTCACCGTATGTACATGTTTTAGTGGTAGGGGAAACCAAACCACCCGGAGGAAACCTGCGTAGAAACAGGGAGAACATGCAAACTCCACTCAGAAAGGCCCTGTCAGCAGGTGGAATCGAACCCAGGACCTACCCACTGCATCACTGTGGCCTTACATATGTTTTCACTTCCCAGAAAACATGGGAAAGTGTTGACTCTTAATCATAGTTCCAGCAGAGTCTTCTGCTTACTGATCTCTATCCAACCATTTTCTCAACAATGGCGTCTTTGAAGGAGTAAAAACATCTGGAGATGATTGTAGTGGAGCAAAAGATACTGGGGCTGGTGGAGAGGTCTCTGGAGGGAGTGGACCAATGGGGAGGAGGACTGGAGTCTGGCACCCTGGTGCATATGGGGGGAGTGGAATGTCTAACAGGGAATGTACACAGTAGGCGTAAACAGCGCGTACGCGTTACCTGCGCGCTCTCTGCGCGTAACATTTTTTTGGAGTATCTACACAGGCCGTGTGCAGGTCCTTCTGATGCTGTCCCTGTGTAGTCTGTGGAGCAGTGTAGAGGACAGTACAGAGACTGATGCTGTCCCTGTGTAGTCTATGGAGCAGTGTAGAGGACAGTACAGAGACTGATGCTGTCCCTGTGTAGTCTGTGGAGCAGTGTAGAGGACAGTACAGAGACTGATGTAGAGCAACACAAACCACATGTGTTTGTCTCCATGGTCTCTGTGCGCTGGTTTGGCCAGACGTAAGACTTTATGAAAGAAAAAAAACCGATGTCCAGAATCACTGTAAAACCTGCTGCTCCTCCTGCTGATGTTTAGACACAAGTGCTGTGTGTGTGTGTGTGTGTGTGTGTGTGTGTGTGTGTGTGTGTGTGTAGATGCGATCTAGAGCCAAGGACTGCTAGAAAAATCATATTTTACATGAGATTTCAATGGGAGACGCGTTGGTGCGCGCACAAAATTAGAAATCCATCCTAAATTAGAGTGCAGCTTCGCGTCATACGTCCGTCATACGCGCGTATAACGCTAGAAGTGTAAATATCATCATAGGTTAACATGGAAAAAAGTTACGCGCGTCTGCTGCGCGTATAACGCGTACGTGCTGTAACGCGTGATGTGTAAATTAGCAGTGAGTGTGAAATCATTATAGTGTTAGCCATGAAAGAGGATTATTTGAACATTAGCTAGCTGGAGCCAATTTCCTTAAATGGTTATTTTTTCTAACGGTGTTAGCTTCACTCCATAAGAGGGACAGATGTGTTGCTAAGACAGTTGATAAGACAAGCTAAAGTTTCCCCTGCAAATGAAGGCATCTGATTGGCAATATATTTTATTTATTGACCTTTATTTAACCAGGAGTCCCACTGAGATTTCAGAATCTTTTTCATGAGAGTTGTGAGCCCAGAGAGAGGGTGCAGGAGTGGGGTTGGGAAGGGTGTTACGGGGGATTACTTATTGTATATGTTTTTGTCTCCTATGGCGCATATCTGGATTCACAAAGACAATATCACACTATAAACACCGGGATCATAGAGAGCATTAAACGATGGATTTAAGCCCAAAATGAGTGTGACGCAAAATTATTACTGAGCTAGAGATGTTAACTTCTCAACAGGATCCAGAGCAAGTTGAACTTCCTCATGAGCACTTACCTATTGGGCTTCATTGAACTAGCGAGTTAGCATTCTCTACATACATTCTCTAAGTTCTGACAGAGGTCATTTTAAGCTTGTATTAGTATGGTCACACACACCTTCACACGTCTCTCCGTCGCCTCCATACCCAGGTGGACAGGGGCCACACTGGACCCTCCCGGTGGAGGTGGTCTCACAGGGGACTCCTGGGAAACAGGTGGTGTCCGCACAGCTCCTCCACCTCCCCCTAGTGGCCAGCTCAGGGCTCAGCTGGGGACTGTGGCTGCTGGGAGAGAGGGCTACAGTCTGGTTCCTTCCCTGGGGCTTGGGTCTCCGCTCGGGCTGGGGACTGAAGCGCACAAGGCTGGTGGGAGCGAGCGGGTTGTGTCTTTGGACTTGGAAGAGGTCAGACAGACTCGCCGTTGAGTCTGGGTCTGCAACAATGTTAGTACAAGAGATTTAGACCAAACAGAGAAAAAGACAATACTAACGCGTCACACAACAAACATGAAGCTAGATTATATTATATATTATATTACTTTAATTCAGATATATTTATTACTATAAATACTTTTTTTTAGCTCCAGCTTAGGATGGGTTAATTATATGAATTGTTTGGCTGATTGGAAGAAAAAATATCCTTATTGTAGCTACACACACCCACTCACCCACCCACACTCTTACTCGCTCTCCTGCAGATTCGTCCATTCCCCTGAAGCCCGTGAGGACAGGGCCCACAGACAAATCCAGTCGAAACATGAACACTCTCAAAGCACTGCACACCAGGGTGGCAGGGCCTCCTGCTGCAGGGCGAGGGGGGAGACGGGGGAGACAGTCTGGACGACACAGGTGTTTTTGGAAGCTGTGCCCCCCCTGAGAGCAGAGATACACTGTGGATGAATGAGGTGATTTGAAAGCAGAGATGCTGTTGGATTTGGACTTACATGTGCAGTTTCTCCCGTCCCCAGTAAATCCTTTGGGGCAGAGTCCGCAGGTGAAAGAGCCCAGAGTGTTGTCACAGCTCACTGCAGGGAAACACGGCTGAGAGAGGCATTCGTCCACGTCCTCTCTGCATGTATGCCCTACACCACAATGTGCAAACAACATTTCTCCATTATGAGATCAATAAATTGATTATCTTAACATACAGACAAATCCAATCACAAAAAAATATATATATTTCAAACAGGATACAAAAAAAACCAACACAAATACAATGAAAAAAACAGAGGGACCAGAGCCCGTGGTCCCAGACAGACCAGAGACTTTATCCCAATACAAACATCATGATCACAGAGAGCGCTAAACCACAGATTTTGAAGTCCAAAATGGTGAGTGTGACACAAACAGTTACGGAGAGGAGTTTACTTTTACATGTAAGATAAGAGAACTAGCAGGTTAGCGTTGTCTATCGATATACAGGTAATAGCTCTCAAACATTCAACGCACACACACACACACACACACACACACACACACACACACACACACACACACACACAGAGAGAGAACTGAGACTCTTTCTGTTTGTAATGCCATGAAGTATTTTCAATATTCTCAATAGTATTAAGGAGAGCGTTACCGGTCATCCCTGGAGGGCAGACGCAGGAGAATGAGTTGGGGCCATCGATGCAGCGTGCATATCTGCAGGGGTTGGGCTTGCAGTCGTCCACATCCTCCTCACAGCGGGGGCCCCTGAAGCCTTCAGGACAGGCACACAGCAGGGCCACATCTGCAGGGGGGAGCAGGGAGGCCAGGCACGAGCCCCCGTTCAGACAGCCACATGGGAGTACGGACACCTGCACCCAGACAGAAGCTTCATTTGTTTGGTCAAATTTTCACAATCTATCATCATGGAGTCAATCTGGGGGGATCTCGGAAATGCAAGACAACCCAGGAATTTTCAAGAACTGGTGGATTTGTGCCCAGAAGAATAGACGAGAGGAGAGGATTTCAGAGAGAGAGAGAGACCAGTAAGTAAGTAGGTAAGTATTTAAGCAAGTACTTACTTATAAGAGAGAGACAAGAGAGACAAGCGAGACCAGAGAGAGAGACCAAAGAAAGACCAGAGAGAGATCAGAGAGAGACCAGAGAGAGACCAGAGAGAGACCAGCGAGAGACCAGAGAGAGACCAGAGAGAGACCAGAGAGAGACCAGAGAGAGACCAGAGAGAGACCAGAGAGAGAGACCAGAGAGAGAGACCAGAGAGTGATTAGTCTGATGGACCTGTGCGTCATTCCATGGCGTGTCCCCAAAGTCTGCCGCCCAAACATGTGATACCTAAGCAGAACTCGATTCTCTACACTTTTGTCTTGAACATAAAAAATAAACTTTTTACACTTAAAATGGCTTTTTCACCGTCCCTTTATGCATGAGTCCCAATTTCAACAGCCCTACTCTTCTCTACTCAACTCCGCTCTATCCAGGTCTACTCTACTCTCCCCTGATTGGGAGTTTTTCTACTGGCTCTGTTTAATGGTACCAGGTCCTTCTTTAGTCCTTCTTGACCTAGGTGGTACTCAACAGTGCTGCTGGAAGCCATGGTTACAAAGGAATTTCCTTGGACACTGGTTTGTTGTGGGTAGGTTGCTAGGATATGGTACCAGATCCTTACGTATAATGGAAACACAATGAGGAAGACTAGAGTAGAGGAGAGGAGAGGAAAGAAGGGCTGGAGGAAACACAATGAGGAAGACTAGAGTAGAGGAGAGGAGAGGAAAGAAGGGCTGGAGGAAACACAATGAGGAAGACTAGAGTAAAGTAGAGTAGAGGAAAGAAGGGCTGGAGGAAACGGGGCTATAGTCACCTGTATGGAGGCTGCCGTGTGTGCCCCGCAGTGGTCCCTCACAGTCACCCTGAATGTGTGTGTGTCTATGGAGCTCTCTGAGGACCTCCACATGAGGAGACCCTCAGGGGTCACAGAGGAACCCTTTGGACCAGAGTCCAGACTGAAGACCAGATCGGAGCCTTCAGGGTCCAGAGCCTCCAGCTGAAACCTCACAGTCTGCCCAGGGAAGGAGTGCAGCAGAGCGGGCAGCGGCTGGAACACCGGGGGGCTGTTCTCTGGAGGAGAAACACAAACTCAGGTCATTGGAGCGACTGTCTAATAGATTACACACAGATCTTAAGTTTTTAGCTTTAGTTTTTATCTTCAGTCATATTCAGGGAAGCATCCTTCCTGAGGTGCTTTGTGGCTGGAGCATTCAGAGTCACAAAGGCTCCTTCCGGGCAAGACTATGAAGCCAAAGGTGAATTTGGACAGGTTTCACCTTTGTCACCTACAGTAGCAACCGGACACAGAGAGAATACAACAAAGCAGCCACGTTGAAAGGTTGAGAAAATGTCAATGCGGTTTGTTTAACGCTGAAGTCGAACCCAAGACCTACTTGCTGTGAAGCACAAGTTCTAACCATGTTACCTGTGCCACAATTAAATAACGTTTAAATAGTACGTAAAAAAAAAAGGTAAGGTAAGGTTTGAGGTAAATCAAGACACATCTCCCTCTATAGAACCTGCACTAGTAATAATAATGCATTGGGTTTATATAGCGTTTTTTGGACACTAAAAGACGCTTCACATGTCATTCCTTCACTTCATACACGGTGGTGATAAACTACTGCTGCGCTATCGCCCTCTGACCACCACCAACTATTCACACACACCAGACTCATTCTAGACAATGTGGGTGAAATGTCTTGCCTAAGGACACAGCGGCAGTTTGGCACTTTACAGCCGCAGCCGCCCCTCTGTGGCACCTGGTGTTCCCAGAGGTTAAGTGTCTTGCCAAGGACACAACAACAGCAAACCTCAGTGGGAGTCAGTGTAGAAAGTCTTGTGGCGGGCTCGACCCCATGACCTTCAGGCTCAAATGCCAATGCTCTACCAACTGAGCCACTGTTGCCCCACTAGTCTCAGGGTACATGCTCTGTTCAGAAGACCAGGTGTGAGGAGGTCTCTGGATACATACTATCTGCAGTGGACCAGGTGAGAGGAGGTCTCTGGATACATACTATCTGCAGTGGACCAGGTGAGAGGAGGTCTCTGGATACATACTATCTGCAGTGGACCAGGTGAGAGGAGGTCTCTGGATACATACTATCTGCAGTGGACCAGGTGTGAGGAGGTCTCTGGATACATACTATCTGCAGTGGACCAGGTGAGAGGGGAGGTCTCTGGGAGGCAGGAGAGACAGCTGCTGCTGGGACTCCTCTCTCCTTCACTGTAGCAAACACCATTGATGAAGCATTTTTTCTCCTGGATTTAAAGGGCAGAGAAAGTGACAAAGAAGTAGTGGGGAGCCACTACTGACCATGGTGCAGGTTAAAGCTGAGGTACCTCACTTTTCCCCAATAAATATCACCCGTAGTTTGTGCACAAAACACAGTTTGTTTCTCTCTGGTCTTTCTCTGGTATTTATCTCTGACATTTCTCTGGTCTCTCTCTCTCTGGTCTCTCTCTCTCTGGTCTCTCTCTCTCTGGTCTCTCTCTCTCTGGTCTCACTCTAGCGTCTCTCTGGTCTCTCTCTCTCTGGTCTCTATCTGAGAAAGCTGTGATAGGGGCCAAACATACATGCAAGTAAAAATGTGGAGGAAAGTGTGGAACTATGGCTTATATACAGTATGTTTTGTGGTTTGAAAGTTAGATACCCCAGCTTTAAGAGGTACAACTAATATTTTGAATCTTGAACTGACCTTGAGTGAGCAGAGGACCTCCGCACTGGCACTCCTGCAAATGTGGCACGTTCCATTATAAAGGGTCAGGATCTTGGCGTTACTGTAGCTGTAGCCGTCATTGGACACCTGCCTCACAGACAAGTTTATTTGTAAAGTACAGTTCAAACACAAGGAAACTCGAGAGCTGAACAAAACAAGAAGAGAAACATTAAAATCACACAAGACATCATAAATAATCACAGTGCATTAAAGAGAGTGAAGAGAGTGATCAGACACACGACATCCCCGCGGGTGGGTGACCCGCGGGGATGTCGTGTGTCGGCAGCTCCTACCAGTGGTGTGGCAGCGGTGGTCGGAGGTGGTTCGGGTCCAGCTGGGAACTATATCTGGACAGTCGGCTGTGGCAACCTGGGGGCTGCGCAGGGTACTCTGTGGCCGCAAGGGGGCAGCATTGGACAAGCAGCATTGGACGAGTAACTGAAGCCCTCTGAGCTGCCCTCTAGTGAACCGCTTTTTGGCTTAACATTTTCTATTGAGTTTTAATATTAGCACAGCCTTCATTGGATTTTATAGAATTATATTTTTATTTATTATATTTAAAATGTTTGTACAATAAACTCCATACCATAGTCTTGGGTCATTTCTCAGTGGTACAGATTGGTGGTGGTGGATTGGCATGTGAAAACTAGTGATAGAAGTGAGGAAGAAGAACTTGGATTTGACTCCTCCAGACCTTTCTTATTGGAGTTCCTGGGTCTGCTTAGGTTTTCTCTGGGAGCTCCAGTTTCCCCTATCACTAAAAACATGTACAATAGGGCTGCATACAATGATCAAATTATAGGATATTATCATATTGTACAATTGTTTGTGGTTTGAAAGTTTGGTACCCTGGCTTTAATATGGGAATACAGCTTCAGAAGATTACTCTGACTTTGCAAAGTGACTTGTGACACCGTAGTTCTCAAACGGACTCATGCAGCACTGACTCGGATCTGCCAACGCTCCTGTGGTCGCCTGGATGCTGCTCCTGCTGCCTGCTGGGCCGCAGCGCTCCAGCTGTCCTGTAGGGGGAGCTGGCAGCGCAGAACTGTGGTGTCCAGGAAGAAGGCCCGGACCAACTGCGGCTCCCCCAGCACCCACTCACCCCCCGCAGACTAGGAACACACAAGAGACACAAGGACTGAAGTTCAGAACACAAAGACGTGATGTGTACTCGAGTAACAAAGACAACAGGGAATGAGACAGTTTGGAGCTGTGCCACTTGTTTACTGGACATTTACCATTTTGTATGTTTTTGACCAATTTTACAGCGTGCTTCTCCAGCTAGTTAGAGCCATTAATGAGTTAGAGCCATTTTAATTTACATTTATACCCCATTGTGGGTCAGACTATCCGCTAACTATGCTGCATGTTAAAGCTGAGGTACCTCACTTTTCCTCATTAATAATACACTTTATTAATAATACACACTGAACAAATCAGACAACGACATTCTGCTGTAAACCGTGTTGACCAACTTGTTGTTAACATGTGGGTTAGGGGAAGAAGGTCCAAAACTTCACACAAATCCCCCCAGGGACAATACTTTCACATCTTTTAAAAAATATGTTGGAAAGTGCCTGTATTGCTCCACATGGATGATCCATTATCACATAGAACGCTAAACCATGTTTTTTTTTAGTTACTGAGCTAAAGGAGTTTGCTATTCAATGTTAGTCAACAGGGCCCAAAGCGAGTTGGAGCCAAACTTCACCAAGAGCACTTCCCTATTAAGCTTCATTGAGCAAACGGGTTAGCATTGTCCATCTGGACACAGTCTATGCTAAAATTCGATAAGAACCATCATAGATTGAATCCCCCACATTATCTCCTATGATACATCTGCTCCATGGATCTATTATTATATCTGGATAGGGTATTACTAGTCCATGGATCTATTATTATATCTGGATAGGGTATTACTAGTCCATGGATCTATTATTATATGGATAGGGTATTACTAGCGTAGAACTGTCCCAGCCATGGGCACAGGGGGCACCTGAGGTACTGCAGACTAAATTCATGTGGCCTACCCCAAAAAATGTCCCATAGAACTCAACGTAAATTAAAACAGCTCGACCTCAGCTGATAGAGAACTATAGCTTACATAAAAGTTGGATTTTGTGGAGATTTTCGTGTCCCTTGTTATCCTGAGCTGTTTTCTTGTTAAATCCTTCAGTTTTCTATAAATTCATGCTTTAGTGCAACAAACTCTGCTCGTTTGTCTACCGCTCTAGCTCTGCTCTGATCAGCTGTCGCTGATTGGTCAAAACACATAACATGCGATGGGAGCTCTGCACAGAACCTGGAGGACCAGAAGATGCCCACATATGGGAGAGTTCTGCTAATCTTTAGGGGCCCATGGTCGATATGAAAAGGTGCCATCTTGGGAGCCTGACTCTCGCCAGACCCTTGAAGATCACTGCGCTTCTCACAGCGGTGCAAACCCGGCGTAACACCGGCAATCCTGATTGGTCAATTATTTTCTAATCTTCTGAAGGAGTTTGCTATGCGCTCGATACTAGACCCTTGTGTGAAGCGAAGCGCCTCTGGTGGAGCATTGGCGGAACTACAAGGGTCTGGCGAGAGTCAGGCTACCATCTTGGATCACCGCTGCTTGATCTGCTCTTACTGTATGAACAGACAAGATGGCCCCCACAGTTTCCATGCCAACAAACCCCTCCCTCCTCTGGACCCTGAAACAGCTGTGATGTCACGAGTGAGTGGAGAGTACCTGTTCTTGAACGAACTCACACTGGAGCCCGCGGGAGTTTCTGAAGCCGTGTCCTCTCACTCTCACACTGCTGCAGTCGTCCTGATGAACGTCACACACAGCTCTCTGCAGTTCCACCATCTCTGGGACCTGGTCTTCAAACAGCCACAAACACAGCTGTCACACACACAGGAGCCACAAACACAGCTGTCACACACACAGGAGCCACAAACACAGCTGTCACACACACAGGAGCCACAAACACAGCTGTCACACACACAGGAGCCACAAACACAGCTCACACACACAGGAGCCACAAACACAGCTCACACACACAGGAGCCACAAACACAGCTCACACACACAGGAGCCACAAACACAGCTCACACACACACAGGAGCCACAAACACAGCTCACACACACAGGAGCCACAAACACAGCTCACACACACACAGGAGCCACAAACACAGCTGTCACACACACAGGAGCCACAAACACAGCTGTCACACACACACACACGCTGTCATTTCTGCTTTTTAAAAGTCGTTACGGCTATTTTTATATTGATCCGAGGAAACAGTGTGTGAGTTATTCAAGTCATTCATGAAGACAAACTTAGTAATTGTACAAATTGGGAAAGTAAGTGACCAAGGCCTATGTAAGTTACCCCTGCCCCGAATTGGGAGGGGTGAGAAGAGGGGTGAGAGGAGGGGAGAGGGGAGGGGAGGAGGAGAGGTGAGAGGGGAGGAGGAGAGGATGGTAACCCTAACCCTGTATGAACACACTCTGTAGTTTATGTTTCCCATGTAATTGATCTGAATAGTAGTAATTTTCCAAACAGCTCACACAATAGTTGTGATAATTGTGGCCATGGTTCAATCCCAGTATCACAATATTCCAACTCACTCAATAGTTTGGACACCCTAACCCTAGCCCTCCCCCAAGCCATAGACCAGTGTTTTTCAACCAATATCACATCATTGGTCAAAATAATGTGAGAGTATTAGACTTTTTTGCACTTGTTTGATTTTCTCAACAGAACACTGAGACTTTGTTAAAGGCTGCAAAGTTTCCTGCTTTCAACTTTTGAACAAATTCTAATAGAAAGAGTTTAAAGGCTCAGATCCAATTTGAGACAAAGCCGTGCGTTTTGTAGATGTGAGTCTGACTTCCCGTAATTAATGTGTGTGTTTTCATAGTCACCACAAACACAGAGGAATGTTGAGTAGTTTACCAGACAGAGCGCTGCAGTCGTACGAGCCAAAGCCTGGAAAGCACTCACACCCCCTCGGAGAGCACTGGCCGTTCCCATTGCAGAGACCGGGGCACCTGCGGGGAGACCAGCCCCCTCCTCAGTACATCAGACACATTCATCACTCATGAGGCTCGGGCAGCACAGTCACAGGCAACTGGATTTAAACATGAAAGTTCAAAGTTCAACCGGTTTCAAATGTTTTTTACCCATCAAAGCTGGGGTACCTACTTTCTAACCACGAGTGAAACAACGCAATGCCACCTACCTAGTGCGCTCAAAGGGTTACTATCTTTAGTGTTCACATGCATGTATTTGTGGCCTCTGTCAGATCTTCAGAACAGCTTTTTATGGTCTCTCTCTCTGGTCTCTCTTTGGTCTCTCTTTGGTCTCTCTTTGGTCTCTCTTTGGTCTCTCTTTGGTCTCTCTCTGGTCTCTCTCTGGTCTCTCGCTGGTCTCTCGCTGGTCTCTCGCTGGTCTCTCGCTGGTCTCTCGCTGGTCTCTCGCTGGTCTCTCGCTGGTCTCTCGCTGGTCTCTCTCTGGTCTCTCTCTGGTCTCTCTCTGGTCTCTCGCTTGTCTCTCTCTGGTCTCTCTCTGGTCTCCCTCTGGTCTCTCTCTGGTCTCTCTCTGGTCTCTCTCTGGTCTCTCGCTGGTCTCTCTCTGGTCTCTCTCTGGTCTCTCTCTGGTCTCTCGCTGGTCTCTCGCTGGTCTCTCTCTGGTCTCTCGCTGGTCCCTCTCTGGTCTCTCTCTGGTCTCTCTCTCTGGTCTCTCTCTCTGGTCTCTCTCTGGTCTCTCTCTGGTCTCTCTCTCTGGTCTCTCTCTCTGGTCTCTCTCTGGTCTCTCTCTCTGGTCTCTCTCTGGTCTCTCTCTCTGGTCTCTCTCTGGTCTCTCTCTGGTCTCTCTCTCTGGTCTCTCTCTGGTCTCTCGCTGGTCTCTCTCTGGTCACTCTCTGGTCTCTCTCTGGTCTCTCTCTGGTCTCTCTCTGGTCTCTCGCTGGTCTCTCTCTGGTCTCTCGCTGGTCTCTATCTTTATGTTAAAGGCTGAAAACTGTTCTGAGTGTGACGTCATAGTAAAATGACATCATACTATTAAAGGACTGAGCTACAAAAGTGCAGATATTTTTGTGCCATAAGTTCCTGATGATAGAGTAGATGGATCTGGACATAACTCCAGGTCTGTGACCGATGATCAACAATGTTGCAACATGATTAAAAACAATTTCATACTTTTCATAAAGTTGTCCTTTTGCGTCTTGGCACATTGAGTTTTGTGTATGAATGAATATGCCTCTATATACTGGCATAAGCTGGAGATTTAATGCATTTGTCTAGAACATTCTAAATTTGAATAAAAGTGTTACCTGAGGATAGCGAGGACCTCGGGATACTCCTCCTTCCTCTTCTGCTCCAGCAGCTTGCGCTCGCACTCGTTCTCCAGCAGGGGCAGCGTGGCGTTCATCCAGGACTCGTCATCTTTGAGCTGCAGGTCGGACACGCACATCTCCACGACCCGAGCCAAGACCCAGTCAGGGAGCAGCCTCGAGCAGCTGAGGGCCAAGCTGGAATTTCCCAGAGTCTCCCCACAGCGGGCCCTGGCCTGGTGCTCGCTCAGCCCAGAGGGAGTGGGCCACACCGGGGAAGGACCGGGCCGGGTGGCAGGCTCGTGGTCCTCCGGGAAGAAATACGCAAAGCTTTCCTGTTCAGACCGACTCGGGCGTTGAGGGCGAGGACGAGACTCATATCGGGAAGGTGAGCTGCGAGAAATATCCAGGTGGAATCACAAAATGAACAGTAACAATGGGTCCATGTGACATGCCTTATGATCTTATTAATATTTATTTTTGATTTACTTTATCCTTTCATGTTTCGCAAGACCATTTCAGTGGCCCATGAAATAATTTTTAATGATTGCTTCTAACTTACAGCATTGATGAAAGGTTAATATTAGCTCATTATCAAACCCTAACCCTAACTAAATTACACTAACACATAAATGAACTTCAAACACTTTTATATATATCTTTTGTATCCGGGTCTGAGTATATGTATATATATACTGTACATATATGGTGAAACTAGTATGAAGGGTAAACGGTGCCTTCTGCCTGTAACTCTCTGTGCTGCCACTAGAGCAGTGCTTCTCAATCATTTTCTGCAAGGCCCCCCTTAGGCAGAAGAAAACATTTCGCGCCCCTCTCCTTACATCTTTTGATTGGCTCATAAAATCCGCTCTCAGCCCAAAAAGTCAAATATTGACTAACAGGGTTCTTTCTTAATTATGCAAAAAAAAACCATAAAAAACAAGACTTCTATTGTGGTTATTAATTTTACGTTTGGGCTCTACCAACATGCATTTTGAATGCAAGGGGGAATTTAGGTACCTCAGCTATAATTTTGTGAGTTTTAGTTTGAGGGCTACAGGAGGAGACATGGAGAACATGGACACTTTCTGAGGCTCACATAGTTCAGCCGTATTTCTCACAGAGGTGTATTTTTCGTGTCCACAGGTTGTACAAAGATCCGCACTTGTTCCGTCCTCGCTGGTCTCATTATGGCTTCACTTTGGGTGCGCCACTGATATCAAAGCAGCATCACAGCCGCAAGATGCAGAAACCGTTTTCATTCACTCCAAAGCGGCCACAATTGCTCGGGAAATCAGACCGCTGCGGCACAGGAGCATGTGGAATCTATTGACCTAATATATTAACTGGATAGGGTATTAGCTTGGAGCTGAAGGACCCAAGTGCTCGGGGGATTCTCGCGGTACTGCAGACTAAACCAGACTAAATTCACGTGGGCTACTCAGAAACTTTCCCCAATGAACTCAATGTCAACTAAAACAGCGCAACCTCAGCTGACAGAGAACCTACAGCTTTCATAAAGGTCGGATTTTGTGGGGATTTTAGTGTCCCTTGTCATCTTGAACTTTTTTTCCTCTTAAATCCTTCGGTTTTCTTTAAATCCACACTTTAGTGCCACAAACTCTGCTCGTCTGGCTCCCGCTCTAACTGCCGAGCATGACAGCCACACACGCATGTTTCGCGCACCGCATTATGGGAGATCATCCACTGCGCAGAACCGGGAGGACCAGACAATGCCCAAATACAGGCGAGTTTCCCATGGATCTTTGCAAGTTCCAGGAGACTGCCGCTAATTTTTTCGGCACCCATGCCGGCACAAAGCGCCACTGAGCACAACCATTCATTTGAATACGGCGCCATCTTGGATCGCCGGAGCTTGGTGGAATCCCGTTCAAGGACGTACAGCAATTTTTAAGTTCAGATTTACGGGCGCGAGCAGAGAGAGAGAGAGAGAGGTGAGCAGAAGAAGAGAGACGCGAGCCCCAGAGAGAGAGAGAGGAGAGGCAGAGAAGAGAGACGTGAGCAGAGAGAGAGAACGTGAGCAGAGAAGAGAGAAGCGGTGAGCAGAGAGAGCGTGAGCAAGAGTGAGAGACCGTCAGAGCAGAGAGAGAGAGACGCCGAGCAAGGAGAGAAGAGAGAGACGTGAGGCAGAGAGAGCAGAACGCGAGCAGAGAAGAGTGAGCAAGAGGAGAGACGCAGCAGAGAGAGACTGAGAGCAAGAGAGAGAGACATAGAGCAGAGAAGAGAGAACGTTGGATCAGAGAAGAGAGAGACGTGAGCAGAGAGAGACTGAGCAGAGAGAGACCGCGAGCCAGAGAGAGAGGAAGACGTGAGCTGAAAAGAGAGACGCACAGAGAGAGAGAGCGAGCAGAAGAGAAGAGAGGGGAGCAGAGAGAGAGAGAGAGAGGTGAGCAGAGAGAGACGTGAGCAAAGAGAGAGAGACGTGAGCAAAAGAGAGAGAACGTGAGCAGAGAGAGACGCGAGCAAGGATAGAAGACGTGGAGCAGAAAGAAGAGACGCGAGCAGAGAGAGAGAGCCGTGAGCAAGAGAGAGAGAAGAGCTCGGTGAACTGTAAAAACGACAACTCAAAATTGTCACCTTACAGTTTGAAATGGATGACCAAATCGCGATGAAATGGAGGACTACTGGTTTTACAGAAACTATTCAGTTCGTGAAAAAGTATGGTTTTCATTCTGGTGACAGGACAGAAGCTAATGTTAATCGTTAAAAAACAGCAGAGAACTGTAATGAAAGTAACTTATACATTCCAAAACATATGTAAAGAGTTTCAAGAGTTGAGAAACTGCCGCGATGATGTCACACACACTCAATTTGTGGAGGTTCTACCGTAATGATTTTTTGTAGTTTTTCTACTAAATACTGTATGTGTGACTATTATCTTGTTGCAGAATGCTGTAGAATTGCAAAGAGCCCTAAGCAGTAAATATTGAACCATACAGTACATACAGATGTATCACTAAATACAGTCACAATGATATCATGACTCAAATCAGTTGACAGTTGTTCATAAACACTGATGTCAGACACAACACAGACCGTTTTCATTGACATGAAGGCTTTCTCTTTGAGAATTATGTTCATTTGTGAGAAAGTGACTTTTTAGCAGGTTTATCCATGAGGTTTTGCAGTTTGCCACTCATGTTCTGAGAAATGCACTAACTGTTGTTAAATGTGAAGAAATAATTGAAAAATGCTCCAAAGACACTGAGAAAAACTGATGTACAAAATATATACAGCGCATTCGTCAGGGTACTCACACTGCCATGGCATCTCTTCAGCTTTGCAGCTCGCCCTTCCCCCACTCAATAAAGACAAAGCCCACCCCAGCCCCCCTGCTGATATAAGTCTTTACCTACATTTGCAAATCAATACATGCAAATGTAGCAAGCCAAACCTAGCAAGGTAGCTTCCCTGTTCTCATAACAGGGGCCAATTTTCAGGTTGGTTTTTCTAGTGTTTAAGAAGAACCAGGTAGCGAGAGACGTGAGCAAGAGAGAGAGCACTTGGAGCAGAGCGAGAGAGACGTGAGCAGAGAGAGAGTGACGTGAGCAAGAGAGAGAGCAGAGAGAGACGTGAGCAGAGAGGCGAGAAGTGACAAGAGAAGAAGCAAGAGAGACGGAGCCAAGAGAGAGAGACGCGACAGAGAGAGACGTGAGCAGAGAGGAGGAGCAGAGAGAGACGTGAGCAGAGAGAGACCGCGCTGAGAGAAGACGTGAGCAAGAGAGAGAAGAACGTGAGCAGAGAGAGACGTGAGCAAGAGAGAGAGACTGACAGAGAGAGAGAGACGCGAGCAGAGAAGAAGAGAGAGGTGCGCAGAGAGAGTCTGAGCCAGAGAGAGAGGAGACTGAGAGCAGAGAGAGAAGAGAGAGGTGAGCAGAGAGAGAAGTGAGCAAGAGAGAGAGACGCGAGCAGAGAGAGAGAGACGCGAGCAAGAGAGAGAGAGACGTGACAGAGAGTGAGAGAACCGAGCAAGAGAGAGAGAGGAAGTAGCAGAGCGAGACGTGAGCAGAGCGAGAGAGACCACGACAAGAGAGCAGAGAAGAAGGAGAGGCGAGCAGCAGAGAGAGAGACGTGAGCAGAGAAGAGAGACGTGAGCAAGAGAGAGAGACGCGAGCAGAGAGAGAGAGAGAGGTGGACAGAGAGAGAGAGACGGAGCAGAGAGAGACGTGACAGAGAGAGGAGACGGGAGCAAGAGAGAGAGGTTGAGCATAGAGAAAAAATAAGGAAAAAACGCGACAGAGAGATGAGACGCGAGCAAGAGAGAGAGAGAGGACGAGAGGGCAAGAGAGAGAGACGCGAGCGGAGAGAGAGACGCGAGCAGTGAGAGAGACAGAGAGAGAGGAGCGAGAGAGAGACGCTGACGCCGCATTTGTGGCTCAGTGCGGCTAGTGTGCTAATCAATGGAATACATCAAAATACTCATCAAACACAAGATCCATTTAATTTTATCATTGGAGAAATGTTTATTAAATTAGCCAATTGGCAAACCTTGACCAAACACTGGAATTTAGAAATCCTAACATAGTAGGCTAATATAGGCGAGAACGTGGGACATCCCTTGCCCGTGGGAATACACCATGCCAGTTGCCCTCTTCCCTTCAAGGCTATGACCTGGTCGATGAACTTTGTCCAGTGGTCTATATAGTTTATTGCAGACCTGTGTTGTGAGTTATTGTTTTTAAGCCTAAAAACTCTATTTGCGGAGATCAGAGCTGCGACCTTGCTCATCGGCTTGGGGCCTCACACAGCCGAATGGGACTTTTCATGGACGCCCACACAAACTCAATGGGGGTCAGAGCCGGCGAACCGTATAAACAAAAACACTTGGACAGGTCAGTCACTGTTACCTATTTTGCCGATACAGCATGTATTACATCCAAATATATTTATATATATAAAAATAACTACGGTAACTGTAACTCTCACCTGGTGCCCGGTGGTCGTACCTCCAGTTGATTCCCACTCACTTATCTTTCAATGCATAGGTTTGACACTTTTTTTGCTGTGTGTTTTTGGATCGTTGTCCCTTAAAAATCAAACAGGACAAATTAGGAGGACAACTTAAGCATTAAACAAACCTTAGTAGCCTAAGCATCACGACGTTGCTTTTGTCATAATCAATGCGGAATTTGGAATACAGATTGTTAGCCTACCTTGGAAGAATCTATGTGAAGACCTACGGAAATGCCTCCTTAAGTATAATGGGCACCACAGCTTTTGTTTGCTGATTTCTTCCGCGGAGAAGTGGTGATATCCATTATACCGCGGTTTAAATATATGTTAGCATATTGTAACAATTTAGTTAGCAGACCCTACTTGCATGCATTTCTTATCAAAACCTTCATCAACTCACCGTCACAAATGACACGGACCCAGGTCCCCATCGAGAAATTCCACCCCAACATTGCATTTTGACCGGTGCTTCAACTCTGGTTATTGCAATCCCCTGAAGGTGGTCTTATCTTCTCCCGCACTTCAAAGGCTAAACGTACCAGTGGCCACAGTTGACCTCGTCAGTGAGAGAACATCAGCAAACATTTTGCACA